AACAGCAGGTGCATGTGTTCGGGCACCCAGAGCAGCCGGGAGAGAGGTAAGTCACCGTGGGGCAAGGGGGAGTCTGGGGATGCCCTGGCCACCCAGGGACATTAGTCCTGTTTGGGGGGGATGGGAGGGAGGAGGAAAAATCAAACTGAAAGCAGCCCTTTAAGCTTTCTTTAGCAGTGTGCTCGTGCACAGAGAAGAGGATTGGATGACCAAAAGTCAATCACGCTCTCTGTCGGAAAATTTAAAACAAAAAAAGAGGGAGCCCCACCCCTGGGAAAGCCCCAAAACAAGCAGCAAGCGAAGTATAGACACAATAGCCTAATAGAACAAATACACAAAGAAAGAAGCCAAAATCTGCTCCCTGTGAGCGGGTTTGGCAACTGGAGGTGGGGCTCGGGGGAGAGGGGTCCAGCTTTGTGGGAGCTGGGCAGATGGGGAGCAGCTCCCTATACAGGGACCCCTCCCCCCACTTACTGGCCCAATGGCTCCTCAGCCACAGGGAGAGGGGTCACTGTAGGGGGAGCTCCTCTTTCTGTCTGCCCAACACCCTGTGTATCTGGACCCCCTGCCAAGCCTTACCCACGCTGCACCTGGAAACCCCTTCTGCATCAGGAGCCCACCCACTCCCCCAGAGCCTCACCCCCTGCAATGGGAGCTCCACACAGCTAGACCCCCCACCCCACTGATCTCAACCAGCTGCATCCTGACCCCCACACTCCCCCAGCACCCAGGTTCCGCTCTCCCGCTGAGCCCTAACCACCCGGAGAGTGCTATTCCCCCTTCACCCAGAACCTCCCAGTGACTTGTTGTGTATATAGATCCTCCTCCTCTCCCCCCCCCTCTCCCCGAGATTGCACCACCCAGAACCTTGGTGGGGAAATTCTGCACCAAAAAATAAAAAAAATTCTGCATATTTTATTTGTCAAAATAACTATTGCTGGGGGAATTCCGCACCACTGCACGTGCGCAGAACCATCCCCGGGCAGCGTCTCTGCTGCCTGCAAAAAAAATGGTTTCTGGGGGGAAGCAAAAAGCAGCTGCACCAGCGCTCACACCCCCCTCCCCAGCAATGCAGGCGCCTCTGTTCTGGTAGCCGGGGGAGAGGTGGTCTGGGGATGTCCTGGCTGCCCAGGGCCGTTAGTCCTGGGTGGGCAGGGGAGAGGAGGACGATGACAACAGAGGCAGAGCTCCCCCTTCCTCTCCCCTGCACAAAGCAACCAGAGCTGGGTCAGAAACCCCCCAGGTGCAGGAAGCTCTGCACCGTGCAGGGGGGGAGGTGTCTGGGTGCAGGGGATGAGGGCTCAGTGCTTTGGGAGTTCCAGGTGCTGGGGGGGTGTTTGAGTGCAGGGGGGTCCAGACATAGCTGCTGACTTTTATCTGCCCTCGATCTGCCTCTTTCTGCCCCACTCCATCCCATCCCCAAGGCCCCCACCCCCCCAGCTCTCACTGCACTCCCTGAGCCACCAATCAGTGGTGTGGTGGTGCTGCCAATCTGAGCACCCATTGTAACTTTTCTGTGGGTGCTCCACAGAATCAGTGCCTATGCATCTGGATACACAAGTGTTGGGAGGACATGGGGAGCAGCTCCCTGGACAGTGACCTCCTCCCCACACTTTCTGCCCCCATTGCTCCTCAGCCACAGGGGAAGGGGTCACTGTCCGCCCAATTCCTGTGCACCTGGATGCCTTCCCCCACCGAACCTCGCCTTCCCTGCTCCCAGAAACCCCCCACCAAGCTGAGCTTCATCCCCTCCATCAGGAGCCCTCCACCAAACCCCCGATACCCAAATCCACACACCCCTGAGCTTCAGCACCTGCATCAGCAGCCCCCCCACCCCACTGACCCCAAAAAGATGCACCCTGACCCCAACCCCACCAAGTCCCACTTCGCTACCATCCAGTCCCCGCTGAGCCCCCCATATTCCCCCACTGAGCTCTAACCGCCTTCACCTGGACTCGCCTGCAGAGTCCCATTCCCCCTGCACTCAGAACCCCCCAATGAGCCCCTGTGCATCCAGATCCCCGCCAGGCCTCCCACCCAGCTGTCCGCACCCAGATTGTACCCCACAGAACACTGGTGTTCTTGAGAGAATTCTGCACCAAAAATAAAAAATTCTGTGCCTACAAATGTTAAAATTCTGCATATTTTATTTGTGAAAATAACCCAGTAACAGTATAATCACACCAATACTTGCTGACAGGTATTTTGAAATAAATTATCAAAACAATTGAAAATGGTGTGATTATATTGTATTATTTTGACAAATAAAATATGCAGAGTTTTGCAGAATTTTTAATTTTTTGGCACAGAATTCCCTCAGGAGTATTTTACAAACCTTTGGTCTCTTACTGCAGAGGGGTGGGCCCTGGAAACTACAGGTCCC